TTGTTGCAGGCTGCATGTGGGCCCCAAGGACAACTAGATAGAAAAAGTCAGCAGGCAAGATGAATATTGTTATTATTATGATATGTTTAGCCGTAATCTTAATCATAATATCTTCCGAGGCTTAATGTCCGGACAGGTCCCTGAATGTCCCGTATGTTTTTAGATACACACATAATCAACACTCACACACACATTGATTCTCTCCATGTTTTGACTACTGCTATGGCCAGTTGTGAAGCTGGCATATCAGGTTGACGTTCCTGTGTAGCAGGGGCTAGGGGCTAGCCCAACTAAGGGATAAGATTGTATAGGCATTAATGGTTCGGGGTCTTTTTTGATTCTCCGTCTGCCTGCGCACAGTATTGGAGGTGGAAGATACCTGGACGTGTAATGTTAATTTTACCTGTGATCCTTTGAATAAACCAGCACGGTTATTTTTTATATATCCAAGTGGTCCGCTTCGTCTCTCTGAGTTCCTGGTTAAAAGAACTGGGTAATATCTTTCAATCTGAATCTTTTGAAAAGGATAAATTAAATTAAAAGTTTAATTTACAGTAGGTAAACCTCATCATCAGTGAGCCTGTGGCTGGTTCACTTCCTTAGACACTGTTGGTAGGTAAGAACCACTGCAGACTGGGAACACTCAATAAGACCTGTAGTCTGGGAGATGCTCTGACCCAGTCGTCAGCCATTACAGTTTGGCCTTTGTCAAAGTCACTCACATCCTTACGCTGCTCATTTTTTACTACTTCCGAAACATCAACTTCAAGGCCTTAATGTTCACTTGCTGCCTAATGTATACCACACGCTGACAGGTGCCACTGCAATGAGATAATCAATGTCATTCACTTCACCTGTCATTGATCATAATGTTATGGCTGATTGGTGTATATTGACAATCACAACCATGTCCGGTTTATAATAGGCTTCAGATCAATTAGATAGATACTTTATTACAGACTCAAGGTCCAGATGCATAAATACTAAAAAAAAAAACAATAAAAACCATAAAACAGTCAGCAATAAATAACAATAAAAAAAAAAAAAACACCAATAAACAACTACCTTTTTAAAAGGCAGGTATACCAGTGTTTCCAAAGTACTGAGGGTTATCGCTATATGCAATATTGGTCAGCAATAAAACTATGTTGTTTCCAGAAGTATTCAAACGACAAATACATTTGTGCATCAAATTTCTTAAAACAGCAGATAATGTACTGATCAGAGATGCCACAAACAATTCACTGGCACTCATCCATCTAGGCCATTTCAGTAATAACCTCAAGGCATCATTATAGGCCACTGTCAGTTTCCTAAGACTGCCTTTTTTGTAATTAGACCATAGATGTGCAGTGTACATGGCGGTACAATATGCTTTAAACAGAGTCAATTTTACTCCATCCGAACACGAGCCAAATTTCCGAACCAACACATTTGCTTGTGCATACAACATGCGGCACTGCCGCTATATATCCCCATCATCAGACAAGCAATCATTTATAACATGACCCAAGTACTTAACTTCATTACACACAGTTAAAATGTTACCAGATAACTTAAAAAATGGAATGCAAGGGACCTGTCCTCTTTTGTGCGGCATATCATAATAACACTTTTATCAGAATTGTACTTGACATCGTGAAGCTCCCCAAACAGAGAACATACATTCAAGAGCTGCTGGAGACCTGCCGAGCTGGGACTAAAGATCACCAGATCATCTGCATACATTAAGTGATTCACTATTGTACCACCAACCATACATCCCATTCTACACATATTTAGCTCCTCAAAGAGACCATTCATATAAAAATTAAACATTAATTCCCATCATGTGATCATCATCCTTTTTCAGTCTCACTAATGAGTTTTTCTTCATCCGTAGTAATTATCCATTACAAAAACTACAAAAAAGATCATGACAGACAGAAGACGAAGGTACTGAAAAAAGACACGGAGTCAGAGGACTGCTCTGGAGTTCTGAGTTTTGGAATTGATCCTCTAGATATGAAGGGAATTTTGAAGTCCAACTCTCTAGGGAATACTGTACCTCCTGCTGCAGGCTGAGGGCTGACACGGGCCTTGCACTGTGTGTATGAACAGTGACTGCTGATACAGGCCAGGGGCTGAACCTGGGTCATTATGTTCCAGTGAACTGGGGATCTTCTCAGTCTGGGTAGTAAAGGTTCAGATGTTTTTTTCCTTAGGTGCATCAACAACAAACTACTTTCTTTGCAAGTACATTGAGGATACAGTACATGTTTATTTTAAACTTTGAACTGAAATCCTGTGCTTGTGGAAACTGGTCAGGAGAGTTTTGTTGGTGCTGTATTTTTTTAAAGCTCTACCAATAATCTGATGTTAGATGTGTTCAGCGTTATATACGTTTAAAAACTAATGCTCTTCTATTATTTTGAACTTCATCCTCATTTTCGTTTTATTGAGTTGTTGTATTCCCCTACTGCCTTCATATTATTAAAGTTTGAAACTTTAAGGGTAACTTTAGGACTTTCTAGCTGACTGACCCAACACCCTGGGGCTGAAATGTTGTCAACACTGAACACAACAAACATCCACATGCTCTAATGACTCTCTCATGAATCACTCTCATTATTAAGGATTCACACCTTCTTGGATTGATGTCAGATGACTACAAACTATAATCTCAGAGGGATCGTTCCAATCAGAGGTGCTAAGAAAAACATCTAATTTAATAATAAGTTGAATCCACACACAAACACATGATGCAAACACATGATGCAAACTGAAAAATGCACGGCACAACAACCTATAAAAACATTTTGGAGTACATGATAAATTATTTTAACTTGTGCATAAACAAGCAGAACAGGGAACTGTGGCCCTGGGTTTTTTTTTTTTTACACTGACATATTTAAGTATGACGGCTGGAATGTTTCCCTCCAGGCAGCTCTTCACCCTCACTTACATATCTGTAATATCCCTGAATGTCTTGAGTCAGTTCACAGGCCTTCAGATGCTGATTACAGCTTTCTTTTCTTTGTCTGACAAAGTCACTGTGAGAAGAGTTATCTGTTGGTCTATGTATTGTTTTTAATGGTCATTATCAGGAATACCTACAGTAGACAGGACTGGTTCCTACTGCAGATACTGTAGTTTATGACTGCCAGTGCTGGACTGTATACTGTATAGGACAGCAAACTGCAGAGATAATGTCTCTCCCTCTGCTGTTTGTTGTTAGTATTACATGTAAAATGCACCCTGCTGCTGTCCTTTAACCATATGTGTTTACAGATAATGCAGTTGATGATGCTCTTGCCAAAACCTGCCTTCTGAAAGACACAGCGACTGGGAATGTTGCTACTTGTACCGTACATGGATTTACTTAAATATGGCCCTTTATTTAAAAAAAATAATCTTAGCTTTTCACTAGGAAGGATAGTTTTCAATTCAATTTTATATGCATAGGCCAAATCATAACAAAAGTCATCTCATGACACTTTATAAAGTAAGGGCTACACATTATTATTATTATTATTATTATTATTATTATTATTATTATTATTATTATTAT